AGGGCAGAACAGAGCAGAAAGGGAGGAAAGGAGAGAAATTATGTCCCCGGTGTAATGACATCAGCACTAAGACCAGTTGTTCCCACTACTACCATTAGTTGTAAAGATTTCTTTGTTGCCCATGGTTTCCTCCTTTCTGAACTGCCACATTGGAGACACTGCAGGAACATTTTAAATTTACAGAAATTTGGAATAAACTAGTAATTCAAATTCTGGGATATGTTCAAGGTATGGGGAGAGAATCTGCTTATTAATCGTCAGGTATGAAAATCAAACTTCTCTGTAACAGTTAAATGACTCACGTCCCTATAACATTTCACAATTTGAAACTGCTTACCTTATATGCGACACATTCTAATAACTGGTGCATTTGCTGTTTCCTCCAAGTTTCTAAAATTATAGAAGTCAGCACTGTGACTTTCTACAAACGTTGAAATCCTAAAAAGACTTGTTTGTATCTCACATCTTCCTGAGCTAGGGTTAGGAGCCAGCGGCTTTCCTGTTTGTACAACTGGGAGACAACATCTGGAATATTTTTGCCCTTGAAAAGGATGCCTTTGTCTAAGAGACAGTGGAATTTCACCAATGTGAAATCTGCATGAGCAACTTCACAGTGATTACAACCGCTCTCATGTGACTGACATCCATCCGTGTAAACATAATGCACTTCAGAATAGTGTTGGTCACTCTAGAGTATCACCCTCAGAAGGTATCTGCTTGGATGCATCCTAATGATCATGCCAAATGGCACTCAAGATCTGCCAGATCGGCTCAGGAGAAAGGGCTCCAGGTTCCAATTGCTGCAAAACATGTGGCAAAAGAAGCTGGATGAAACACAGAAGGTGAAAGAGAGTAGAAAGGAATGGAAGAATTTCAGAAGCACCACAGGTACCATGAGAACCTCTTCCTGTGATGCCACTACAACCGCAATCTGCCTTATAAGGTGTTTTATAAGATAGGAAAGGCATGCTAAAATGGAGGCTTTTTCAGTAAGGGCTAGGAATGCTGAATGTTATGTATATTGGATTTCTTTATTTCATACCAGCCATGAAATTGAGATGCTGGCATGTGAATCAGTGCTTGTGAAGTGTCAGAGGAATTAGAAGTGTTGTACCACAGCACAGCACTTCTCAGTTGGGATGGGGACAGAAAAGAAGCAAATCTCTGTACTGCCTGTGAAAGAGGAGCCGGACTTGGACCAAGAAAAAGCTGCTGTCACTTGTAGCCCATTCCAAACAGTGTACTTAGAAGATGCGGAGAGTGCATGGCCGAGCTAACAGGACTCTGGTGAGTCTACCCAGGATCCTTTGCAAGCAGCAGTCAGCAGACAATTGTTCCAGTTTTTATTTTGTGGGTACCTGAGGGCACTGGCCACTTCAAAGCACTGAAGAGAACAGCGTGAAATGTACCCCAGGCTCCATTGCTACTAATCAAAGTCTTGTTTCTGAAGAACTAACAGTAAGATGGATTTCTGTTTCAATTCCTGAATCATCGTTTTTCAATAGAAATACTGTATTCTACATGCTTGGCCCCAACATGCTAGTAGTTCTACTGTGAGAGAGTGGATCCCTACCTTTAGGTAGAGCTCTATTAACTGAAGGGGCCACAGATCCACTTACAGGAACATTTCGTCGTGGAAGATTAGCATTACTGACATAAAGAGTAAAGGATAAAAATGTACAACGTGCCACTCTACATGCTAGCGCTGGCAAACATCATTATGAGTGTTTATTATAACTCATTTCTGCTTGTTATAGCTAAGCTAATGGAAAATGATTTCAAATCAAAATGCTTTTGCTGTTTTCTGTTGCGCCTTTATTTGTTGAATAGAAAAGAATCCTATTTGCTCTTTTTGTAATATTTCTTCCATCCCAGGAGGGGATGGAGAGTGAAAGAGCACTGGAAGATATCTTGCCATTCGTATTTTTATTTATTGAGACAACCTGCTCCTTTGCTGATGTAAATCGGGAGTAACGGCAGTGTATTCCTTTGATTTCAGTGGAAAACCTACACCACACAGAAGGCTGGGGGCCACCGGGGGCTGGGCAGAGGTGAGCCCTGACACACCAACCTGAAGACTGGGAGAGCCAAGTTAGCTGCGGCCGAATGTTTCATGAGTTGGGGGGGGGACCTCTTACTGATAAATCTGTCCCAGTTACCCAAGCCATGCGTCTTCCCTTGCCTTCGCCTGGGTGCAGGGTACTTCATCACAGCGCGGAAAAAAGAGGGGAGAGTGCAGATCAATCTTTTCCTAGGTCAGTGCTGTTCCCCGGCACCTTCGTTTTACATAGTTTGGCCGACAACGCAGAAACCACCAAGACGCGCTGTAAAGAAGGACGCCGAGAGCCGAACAGCCTCCGTGCGGCACAGGAGGCCGTTTCATGCTTGAAACCGCTACCCGAGCACCTCTGGGGCTGCCGGCCTCCCGCCCTTCCCACCTCCCC